ATTTAACTGTTATTTTCAGAGAGTTGCTCTGTGCCACTTATGCTTGGCAGCAACACTAATTACATCATTTTGTGTGTAAATGTGTATGAAATGGGTTCTAGTCAAGCATTGATGGGACCCTGAATCATGCCAAAATTGAGTGTCCCTCCATGCCCACCACCTGACACAAGTTGGCATTTCCAGTCCCGGAATTTAGCAGTCACAACAAACCCTGGTGTGATCCTGCTTCAGTTTGTGATTTTGTTATACGGCCTGTAATCTCATTACATCTCATCTACAGTCAGTATCGAAAAACTGTGATTATCAGTTTATAGTGACGGTATTGAAATATGTAAAATATGTTCTCAGTGGGGCAGCGGAAATGTTGTAATAAAATAATGTAATGACTATGTCAGTTTCCAATTCTGTGAATTCAAAGAAGAAAAAATCAATTAAATTAATATTAGAATGAGGATTGAAATTACTGCTTTCTTTGTATGTGCATTAACATTAATGACAGTAATCATTTTCCCTGCTGCATCAGTTTTATGCTGATCCTGTCTGGGTTTTCCAGAATATGACTTTTTGTAACACGTACTGCGACTCGTGTTTGTTGGAAGTGCGTCTCCAACGAATGTGCAAACAAATTTGTTGAATACTGAATCATTAAAATATTTTTATTTTGATCATAAAAACCTCTTCATTTATACGTAAGTGCATGAACTGCTAATAGAGCGTGTACGTGTATATGGTAGTAATGCATTTATGCTGATCAAGTCTGAGATTTCAGAAAACAATTTTTGAAAAAGTGCATACTGTAAAATGACTAATTTTCACTGGGTTTAAATTTCGCTGATTTACTATTTCAGGCATATTCAGTGGGTTTTAAATTCACGGTTTTATCTTTTAGATAATGTGTTCTATACTAATTTTTACATATTCACTGGGTGAATTAATTTAGCGCATTTTCCAGTCAGCGAAATAAGCCAAATTTTTTAAACCAAGTAAATAATTAATCCTTTTACAGTACCATATTTTCTATGTTCTGAATCATTAAAATATTACTTATTTATTATACACCTCTGCATTTTATATCGGCCAATGCACTACAAATAGAATAAAAAGGACGTTAATAATGCATCTGTTTTAAAAGAAGATGTCTCAATGATCATGGTAGCCCTAGTCTATTCATGTATTCCAGGGCTGTCCCATGAATCAGTGTTTGTAAATTCAAATTATAGACTTCAGTTTCTTGTCTGAGTACTCATTTGTATTAGGAACAGTAGCAGCCTTATGTATATTATATATTAAAAAAACAAAACTGTACCTATATTTAATATTATAAAAGATTTTCTGTATTGTTCATCAATAGAAGATTGAAACATCCATAATTCACATCCCTTTTTGCCATACCACAATTAATACCATATAAAAAAGCTTGTTCAAATCATGTAGTCAATTACATGCAGTCCCTTGCAGGTTTTGAATCGCATGGTCTGTAACATCCACTACACATGCCCTTGGGTTTGTATGTGTATAAAATGAGATATGAAAGCATTCATATGCATACACACTTAAATTTAAAAGAAGCTTGGTGTGGGTCATCTTGGCATAACTCTATGGAGATGTTGGTGGATATTGATCTCATTAAAATTAAAGATTGATTAGCTATGGTAATTTAATAAATAAATATGTATAAATGCATGCATTTTTTGTTTCAGGATCTGTGCATGCTAAGTATGGTTTTTGAGTCAAAGAGTTTCATTTTTGGTCGAAAAATAGAGTGAAAATAATGTTCTTGCTTGTCCTTACAATGCATTGACCAATTCCATTCAAATTTTTCATATAGTTAATACACACTATATTACATATATTCATAGACATTATTTCACAATCAAAGTGTATTAAAAGGGTCTTTTTGTTGAACAAAATATGCCATTTTAAGTCAACAATATTGTTTGAAAATAATGTTCTTGCTTGTCCTTACAATGCATTGACCAATTTCATTCAAATTTTGCATGTAGTTAATACACACTATATTTACATATATTCATAGACATTATTTCACAATCAAAGTGTATTAAAAGGGTCTTTTTGTTGAACAAAATATGCCATTTTTAGTCAATAATATTGTTTGAAAATAATGTTTTTGACTGTTCTTGGCAATGCATTGACTAATTTTATTCAAACTTTATATATAAATAATCCACACTACATTAGACACAGTTATATAATCAATGGATTAACCATTATTAATATTGTAAAATACATAATATTTTTTATAGCTGGAATTAGTTCTCACTGAAGAGACTTTAGTGGGTGTTTGTATGGAATGGTGTTTGTATGGAATTTATTTTCACTGATTTTTGATGAGTTGAATGTAAAATATGGAAAAAATTGTATTTTCTCTGGATTTTATTTTCACCAATATTTTCAGCAAAGATAAACTATTTTACGATAGTTGATGCACATCACTATAATCCGTAAAACTAAAACCCATTATTATCAGGTACTAGTATTTTGACATGTACTGAACCAGATCTTGGACTTGGTATATATATAATGTTTATTATATTTAAATCAAATGTTATTTTTTCCAAGATACACAATGGCAATAGGTGATTTTCCGTACAATTGGGAGATCTCGCGAGATGCATGAAAGACGCGTGTCGAACGTCTGCCGCAAAAGTCGAACGATTTGATTTTGAACTAGAATGTCTATTTCGTAGCTTACATTGACCGACCGATCTTCGACAGAGGAATATTGCTTCCGAATACCCTCACTTAATCGAAATTGTCTATCATCAAATGTATACAGCACATTATTAAGCATGGAAATGCCCCCAAAATATTTTCGCGTTTATCGAATCCCACGCGATGTTTGACGCCACTACGACGCTATGACCTTTGTTTGTCCTGTTTTTACGTTCGATTTCACGCATAACGCGTGATTCTCGCAGTGAACGGAAAATGGTCTATTGTCCCATGACAACCACGTATATGCAGTAGTAGATGCCAAAAACATGAATTAAAGCCATATTAAGACCAAAAATTCATCAAAATCACACATTTTCACCATTCAGACATTATACAAATGCACATGCACTTTTGTCACTATCAAATTTAAAATGGCTGACTGGCGGCCATCTTGTTTAAACAAATACAGTTCTACGTAGCCATATCCCATTGATGTCGATCGATATTATGAATGTCACCTTGGTCGTCATGTGATATCTCCCACCTATAATACAAACGAGAACTAATGTAAAATACTTTATTTTAGCTGGAATTAATTTTCGCTGAGAAGACTTTTGGGTTGTTTTGTATGGAATTTATTTTCTCTGATTTTTGACAAGTTGAATGTAAAATATAGGAAAAAAAGTATATTCACCGGATTTTATTTTCACTAAATTGTCTCTTCAGCGAAAATTAATTCCAAGCGAAAATAAAGTATTTTACAGTATGTTATTGACAATGACTTGTCCATACATTATTCACTTTATAACCAACAACCTAATTCTTGTCTAAACCTAGGTATATGCTTATCATCTTTAAGTACACAATGGGGACTGCATTGCAAAAGGCTTGTTTTCATGCCTTTGTTGTGATATCTGAAAATGGTTGCAATGTCATTTGTGCTTTCAGTGGTGTGTATTGAAGTATTCTACATCAATCTTGGATGATATATGATGAAATTAATGCAATGACAATTGCATGTTGCCGTGTGCATTTAATTCCTAGAAACACACAGGGATTTTAATAGACACCTAGATGTTGATGTATCTTATGTGACACAGTGTATAATAGCACCTTGCTGAGAACCGCTATAGATGTACAGCACGGTTAATGAGCGTCTATTTCTATAGCCAGGATAAACGTCTATTTCTATATAGCTAGGATGAAAAGGAGTTTGAAATTATAACTGCAAACTGAGTTGAGATTGATCACTCTGCGTATCAGCATTTACTTTCCAAAGGAAATCTGTCTCTCTGCTTCATAACCTAATTTCACTTGAAGTGCGTCTTATCTACTTGACCCGGTGTCTTGTATATAACTTGTTTGATAGTGTCAGCTCCTTAGAACAGGAACATAAGATTATTTGATACATGCAAACTGAATCTGAGAGAGAAAACATGTCTATTGGACTAACTACTCATCACTACCCCAATTATTTTATTTGTAACATAAGGATGAAATACTGTCTACTCTAATATGTCAATAACTTGTCTCTTGACAAACAGGGAGAGAAGGCAATATTAGGCAGTGAAAAATCTCAATAGCTTTATGCAGTGGATTCGATTCAAATACTGTAAAATACTTTATTTTCTCTTAGAATTAATTTTCGCTATTTTCGCTGAAGGAATTATTTTTCCTATATTTTACATTCAACTCGCGAATAAATTCCATACAAAACACCCAAAATGTCTTTTCAGCGAAAATTAATCCCAGCTAAAATACTGTATTTTACAGTATCTAAATTTCTTTATGTTATCATTTACTACATAAAATAACAGCGGTCATATCCTAATGGTCCAGCATACAATAAATGCAATCGTTGGTTTATCCGATTCTAATAGAATTAATTAA